GGCCTTTAACAACACTAACACCCCAAGGAAGAATAATCCAAGAACAGGCAGGAAAAGGGGTCTTTGTACACAATCTGACTTTTTATTAGTGTAAAATTTCCTCTTCTTGAGTACAGTTGGAACTGTTTGGAAAACATGAAATATGAATTAAAAGGAAATTATGTAAATATTTGTTTCAGTTTTCTTCTTTATATATGGATACATGATCTCCATGTAAAAAGAAGAAACTAAAGATGTGAACTCTACTATGCTTCTGAAGAAAGAAAGCTTCTGAGAACTACGGTAGTCAGGGAAAGGCCAAGAGGATACGAAATTAGGAAAAATGTACTTGGTTAGAAAGATCTGTGAGAAGCAAGACCTTTTGTAGGTGAGACCTGGCTCTACCACTGACTAGCTATATATACTTCAAGCAATTGTTTAACTTCAGTCTCCTCAAACAGGGATCATATAGCACATACCACATAGGGTTGGGGGGATAAATGGATAACATACATCATACACTTGACTGGATTCCTTTTTAGTTCCATTTTTATTTTTCTACTGAAGGTCTTTGGATTCTACCTAAGGATGAATTTTTTTCTTTATTTTTTTGGGGGAGATTTCCTTTTAGAAAAAACACCCTCAGATAAATAGAGTTCTACACAGATCCACGTTTTAAAAACACTAAAAACATTTTAGCACAGACATGCCTTCCCTACACAGCACCAAGAGCTCCTTCTATAAAACCAGTCTGCAAGTACACCCAGGGCCATGTCCCTTTGGCCACAAAGGGTCAAGACTCTCCTGGGAAAAGTCACCATCTTTCTCCCCCAAGAATCACAGGCTCTTGGAGAGAAAATATCGGGCAAGCAGCACCAAGTTTGGCCTTCTTAAAGCAAGTCTGTTTTCTTAGGCATAATGTCACATCTCCATCTTTCAGTTATTCCACAGGTGGTCTAGCACAGGTGATTGGAGAAGGGGAGTTTTGATCTTTCTGAAGGTCTGTTTGAGGACAGTGGCGCTGCAAGGGACCCTTCTTCTCTCAGGGATGTGAACCGTCTACTGAAAAGGAGATGGAACTGGACAGCGCCTGCTGTGGGGCCCTGGGACACTCCCGCTGGCAAGGAGGCGCCAGCAGAGGGCTCTGCAGTGCCGTGAGCTCCCAGCGCCCTTCCTACTGAGGATCCAGGCCAGAGACACCATGCTCCATTTTCTATTATTTCTCCAGATGACTCCTTTGTGACAATTCTACTTATGTTTCGAGTGGGAGGCAACCCAAAGGCTATTGAGGACTGACTGTGAAATTTGAACTAGAAATTCAGAAACAGAACCTCACCACCACTTGGTTGCTCAGTACTCCACTGGGATCTGCATGTCTTGAAAAAATCGCTTCAAGGCCCCCATGCCTCCATTTCCTCTCCTGTACAGGAGGGATGTAAATGAAGTGCAACGGGATATAATTTGTGAGTGTCTCTAAGAGGCCAGGAGTGAGGTAAAGGTAGCTTTTATTGATTTTGCAATTGCTTCAAATGTGGGACAACATTCAATATGCAACACTCAGAGTTGCCCCATAAAAAGCGCGCTTCCTTCTGCTGAATGCTAAGCTAGAGCAGCCTCGTGAGGGGAGCTGCAACCCTGGCATCAGCCTTGCGGGAACAGGGATGGCCTCCAGGAGACCAATTAGTTGTGTAAGATAATGAAAACATCTAGAAGAAATACGATTTCCATTCAAGGCTTCCACAAGGGCTAGTTTACCATGTCTGGTGTTTTATAGGCCTGTGTACGGCGTCTGTCAAGCAGCTCTGGCTCCTGCTCCTGTAGTCACATCAACGCTAACAGTGAAATAGATGAGGGGTTCTCAGCTTTTTGAACCCTATGCTCTCTAGCTGGCTTTCTCTGTTGCCTACAGATCCCATCCGCTGGCTACGTTCTGTTATTTCCTTTGTAAGATCAGTAGGCATATTGGATATCTTTTTTTCAAAGCTTCCCCTTTCCTCCTGATTTAACAAGCCCCATAAAGATTCTGATATGGTCCCCCCCAGATATGGCAGCATAGTGCAGCAATTAAGGGCACAGTGGTTAGGAGTATGAGTTCTAGAACCTGATGTTCTGGGTTTTGTAAATTCTTTACTCATGCTCTTACCAGCTATGTAAACCTGGGCAAAATAGCTTTAGTTTCCCCTCTAACATATAATGTTACCTATGTGGATAGAATAGTGTGGGCACTAAGGTATTTAAGAGGAGTCTTTGGTAAATGGTAAAGTCTTCATTTAAAAAATTGTCTTTTCATTTTTTGTTGTCATTAGAAAGATATAGCCCCAGTTTTAGAATCAGTTACTTGGACTGACTGACCAATAGCCCTGCCTCCAGGGAAAGCATAGAAGGGCTGGATCAGGTTCCACCCAGCATCTTGCACAGTGTGACAGTCAAACACTATGGGGAACGAATGTATGACAGTGAGTTACTATAGAAGGCTGAAATTCCCTAAAATTGAATCTTGAAAAACTGGAGGGACTATATCTCTTAAAGACAAAGCCAGTCCTTTTATTCACAGGGCCTTACCCAGATCTCCTCTTGAAAGATGACACCTATTATTCATTATGCTAAACATGTTAAATACACTGTCTCATTCAATCGTTACAACTTTGTTTTCAGGTATGTATGTATTATTACTTTTTTTTTTCTTTTAAGGAAAAGGCTTATAGAGGTTACATCCCAAGGTCATGCAACTAGTTAAATAGCAAAGCTGCAAAGCTGGCATTGGACCCAGATTCACGTGACTCCAGAGAATATTCTCTTAATTGCTAATTTACACTGTCTTTTCCAAGATGCAGACTACTAGTAGAAAACCATGGCCTGTTATCCCACTGGTGCCATTAGCCTGAATGAAATCACATCACATAGGCACCAAGGTAAACAACTCTCTTGAGAAAAAAATGACAATGCCATATAAAACTGCCAATTTAGATTATTGGTTCAACAAACATTTACCGAACACTGATTTATTCAGGCATTATGCTAGGCATTGCAGTGCAAAGATGAATAAGAAAATCAGGTGGGGGAGACATACACAGATCTTTCTCACATAAGATGGCCAAATGATTAGGCAGAAGCAGGTGTGGAGGGCTATAAGAGCTAAGGTGTGGGCTGGGGATGTGGCTCAAGAGGTAGCGCGCTCGCCTGCCATGCGTGTGGCACCACATACAAACAAAGATGTTGTGTCCGCCAAATACTAAAAAATAAATATTAAAATTCTCTCTCTCCCTCTCTCTTTAAAAAAAAAAAAAAAGAGCTAAGGTGCTACATAGGCAGGTCCCTTGTGGGGAGGCCTCCTGAAGAACGATGATTCTCCAGTTGAATGGTGCAGAATGGAAAGGGAAGAATGGAGAGATGGGGATTACAAGAATGGAGACATGAAGGAACATGGCTTCAGTGGAGATCTACAAGTAGTTTGGTGTTATTAGGATATGAAGTAGGAGGCAGCCAGTGGTGGGAGATCAGATCCGGAAGGGCCCCAAAATGTGCTGCACAGGGACTTGACCTCCACCCAGACAGCAGAAGAAAACTGACAAAGGGTTTTATTTTATTTGGTACTGGGGATTGAACCCAGGGGTGCTCAAAAAAAAAAAAAAAAAAAAAAAAAAAAAAAAAACCCAGCCCTTTTTATTTTTTATTTTGAGACAGGGTCTTGCTAAGTTGCTTAGGGCCTCATTAAATTGCTGAGGCTGGCTTTGAACTTGCCAGGTGTGATAAAGGGTTTTAAGCAGGGGGATGTCTGAACAGATCTAGATAAAATCTGGATAAAATCCAGAAAGCCCACTGGCAGTAGTGTGCAAAATGAATGGATGGGGTGTACAATAGGAAGTTCTCTTATCTTTTTATTCACACACTTGGAATCACACGAATACAATAATTAATATCTGAATATGTATATATAACATCAATTGGGCATAGACTTTTGTAGAGAATAGATGTTTTAATCAGTGGTCATACCAATTGCCTTGATATCAACTTTTCCTCCTCTACTTTGAATTTTAATATTTCCTTCTTATTTAATCTGAGAAAATTTGGTGAAAACAATTATTTGCTGAGAGATGAGGAAAAGAGTGTTGAAAAGAGTGGCAGACTGTTCTGGGTTGTCACTGCTCTGGGAATTACATGTGGCATATATGGAAACCAGATTCTGCAATTTAGAAGCTCTAGCAAAATATTTTCACAATTGCATTCCCCTCTAACACTTGTTAAGGCAAAGACATGACTTCCTTATGTTTTCTTACTTATCTTCACTATATTAGAACCCATTTCTTTTTCTTCTCTTTTTTTCATTCTTCTTTTTTTTTTTTCTTTGGTACTGGGATTGAACCCAGGAGTGCTTTACCACTGAGCTACATTCTAGCCCCTTTTATTTTTTATTTTGAGACAGGGTCTCAGTAAGTTGCAGAGACTGGCCTCTAACTTGAGATTTTCCTTTTTTAGCCTCCCGTGTCGCAGGCATGGGCCATTGCGCTGGGCTTAGAACCTTACATTTCTAGAAATGTCTTCTGAAATGAGCAAGACTGATTTCCAGCTTATGCGGGAGGGCACAACATAGAGAAATGGAGAATCAGAAACTTTTCCTGGAGGTTAAAGAGGATGCTTGGTCTGGCGAAGGATAATGTTGCTAGATGGTGAGCAGCTGGGACTCCCACTTTTGGAAGGGACCTATTTTCAAGGGAAATTGTTAGATCACCTCTTCCATTTGGAGGAATAGGGAAATTAGGCAGGCTAGGGACTCTAATTATATCCAATGGAGGTGTTAAATTCCAATGGAAGACGCTTTTGGAGAATTTGACTTCCGAGAGTCTCCAACTGGATGGGAGTTGTGGCTTGTGAGAAAGGTCTCTGACTATAGGGGTGAAGTGTGCAAGGAGTGTGGGCCTGGTTGAGAAGTTGGGCTGAAGGGTGCAGGTCTGGCTGTGGGTGTTAGAGTGCGGGCGAGGGAACCCGGGTGCGGGTCTGGTGTGTTGCCCGGTGCCTCTCACCTTTTCGGGCTTTGTCTCCGGGGATATTCTGGGCCCGCAGCCGCTGGTCCAGGATGTAAAGCATCTCCCCGCCCAAGTTCAAAAATAGCAGAGGTAGCGTCCGCACAGACATGGTGCTGGAAGCCAGTAGGGCAGGTGAGGAGCCCTGGGGCACTGTAGACAAGGGCCTAGAGGCCCAGCCGCGTCTTGTAGCCTGGTTGCTAAGACGACGCCGCGGACGGGAAGAGCGAGCCAATAAGAAGACAGTTTGGTGAGAGGTGCCCTGAGGGCGGACGCTCATTGGGTTGGGCGGCAGCGACCGCCCTGGGGATTGGTCCGAGCCGAGTGCCGCAGGGTCGCTGGCTTGCTTTGGGGCGCGCTGGTTTGGATTTTCTTAAGCCGCGGTGGTCGCAGCCACCGTCCAGAGGCGGTCCTTCGGCCCGCACAGCCCACCGGGTCGTGCCTCATACCTTCCGGCCTTGCCGGCAGTGAGCGAGGAGAGCCGCAGCAAAACGTCTCGCGGCCAACTCCGCTCGGACTGACCTGGGCTGCCTTGTTCCGCGGTCTCCTTGTTGGGTGACTTCGGGTAGGTTTTTGAGCCTCGGCTAACTCGTTGGTAAAATTGAGGTAACGCCCACCCCTGAAGAGGAAATCAGTGAGATCATGGGAAAGGCCACAAAAGCACTCAATGAATTTTTTTTTGTGTGTGTGTATTGGGGATTGAACTCAGGGGCACTCTATCACTGAGCCACATCCCCAGCCCTATTTAGTATTTTATTTAGGACAGGGTCTCACTGAGTTGCTTAGCGCCTTGGGCTGAGGTTGGCTTTGAACTTGCCATCCTCCTGTCTCAGACTCCCAAACTGCTGAGATTACAGGCGTCTGCCACTGCGCCCGACTAGAAGACATGACTTTTAATATGACATATCTCTTGCTGTTTGGCTGACCAGAGTCCAGATGCCTAGGCATGGCGTCCAAGACTCTCTGGCTCCCAACGACCTTTCCAGAGTCATCCTCACCACCCTGCCCCCATCTCGCTTTAGAACTCCTCTCATCAGCAAGTTATCCCCTTTGGGCAATTTGCTCCCCTTCTCTTCCTCATAACCATACCATTGGAAAGCCTTGCCTTGACATGAGCCAAGCTCAAGTCCTTCCTATGTTACTTTCTCCCTGTATCCTTCACCCTCTCTAGTTATTTTCTTTTCCTTCTCTTCCCAGCTAAAGTTTATGAAATCGTCTGCACTTACATTCTGAGCTTCCTTAACATCTTTGTTCCCCACCTCACAGTATTTGGGATTAAGCTCCCTCCACCTCACTGAGACTGCCTTACCACAAATACTATTTGGTCCTTCTCTTAACTGACACATCAACATAAGGACTATGATCTGTTCAAAGTTGCCAGCCCATCTTTGATTTGGTCATTTTCCCCTTGTCTGTGTACAGTGTTAAAAGGAAATATAACTAGGATAGGAATAGAATAAACAGCATCATTACTTTGTGCTAGTCCTTCATGAATTTGTTACCAGCTTGGCTCCTAAAGGCATTTGTGTTTGCTATAGTGAAGGCTCTTCTCTTAGCTTCTTAGACTTTTTCTCAGTACCTAGGCAGTATGTTGTAGTGGGCAGAATATGAGCTTTGGAGCTTGGCTTGAATCCTAAACCTGTCTCTAACCAGCTGTGTGAACTTGGATACATAACTTAATCTTTCTGAGCCTTACCTCTCTCATGGTAAAATGTGGATAATCAGCCAATGTAAGGTATAAAGATGGCTTTGACGGGCTGGGGATGTGGCTCAAGCGGTAGCGCGCTCGCCTGGCATGCGTGCGGCCCGGGTTCGATCCTCAGCACCACATACCAACAAAGATGTGTGTCCGCCGAAAACTAAAAAATAAATATTAAAAAAAAAAAATTAAAAAAAAAAAAAAAGATGGCTTTGACTAGTAGGTAAGGTAATGTACCTAAGCCAGCACTAAAAGCAGTGCCTTTTCTGTAGAGCCTGATATATTCATGTCTTCCTTTTCTTCCTCCTTTCCCTCCACTAGCCCCCTAAAATGTTGGTGCTTGGCCTCTAGCATAAGATCTCTTAGTAGTTGTGTTCACTTGGAAGTCCTGTCTTTTAAAGGCCTTCCCTACTATTCCTGGAGGTGATACCAGAACAGCTCACTTTTTGTTCAGAGCTTCTGTCTTGCTTCTGATTCTGCAGGATCCCAGGCTCTCTGTTCTACCCATACCTTCCTCTCAACTTGAACTATTCTGGGTAAGGCTGTGCCCTCGAGAATCATCCTTTTAATGCCAATCTGGCCCTTTTTCTACTGCACTCCCTCCCTAGGCAATTTCATTCACACTCATGGTTTCAACCACCTTAGCAACTTGCAAGCTGCTCTGGTCCTAACCTCCCTACTGAGTCTGGAATCTATTCTAACTGCTCTTTGGATAGTGCTTTAACTTACCTCTCCCTTATTGGTTTTCTTCTATGGCTTCCCTTCTCAGAAGTCCAAAGTATTTTCTCAAGTTATGGACTTAATGTTTATGTCCTCCCTCCCAACCCCCGCTGTTAACATGTTGAAGCTCTGACTTCACCATTACAGAGTACTTGGAGATGGGGCATTTGGGAGGTAACAGGAGTCAGGCCATGAGGGCAGGGCCTTCTTGATGGGTTTAGAGAAAGAGGAAAAAGAGATTTCCTTTTCTCTATCCCTCCAGTGTACAAACCAAGGAAAGGCCATATAAAGACATGAGAAGGTGGCCTCTGCAAGCTAGGAAGAGCACCCTCACCAGAAATGAAATTGCCTAGTACCTTGATCTTAGATTTCACAGCCTCTAGAACTGTGAGAAAACAAGTTGTTCAATCCACCTAGTCCTTGGTCCTTTGTTTTGGCAGCCTGAGCAGATTTTCATACCCAGAAAGCTCTGTATCTGATGTCTGCTGACCTCATCTTCTTATTCTTCTTTTGTTCACTGAATTTGACACATTGTCTTCATTGGATGCTTCAAACACTAAAGTATGCTCAGGCTCTGAGGCCTTGGCACTTGGTGTAAGTGGGTGGGATTTATGGGGAAGGAGTTATTTATAAACCTCCCTCCCAACACACAGGGATCTTAAAAGCAATGTTTGTATATGTGTAGTTTAGTTTCCTGATGATAGGACTAATAGTTTTTTGTTTTCGTTTTTGGGACCTTGAGATAACTCCAGTACTTTACCACTGAGCTACATTCCTAGCCTTTTTATTTTGTGATCCTCCTGGCCAAGTAGCTGGGGTTACAGGCGTGCAAACCACTAGGACTAGTAGTTTTTTGTTTTTTAAATCAGATTTTCAATGTGAACACCAAAACCCCTATCCCCCAAATAATGAATTTCTCTTATCTCTCCCTTCCCATCTACCCTCCTCATAGCTGCTGCTTAATTACTAAAAACAGAGGCCTGCTGTTAGCATCACTCTTTTGGTTTTGACTTTAACCTCCTCTCCACTCCCTCGAGGACAGCGTGAAGGTTTCTTGGCCTAGCTTGCCTTCCACTGCTCCCTGAACACAACATGCACTTCTAGACTTGTCTTTGCACCTGCAGTTCCTTCTGCCTGGATGTTGTCCCTCCCTCTCTGCTTAGTGAACTCCTACTCATCCTTTAGGACTCCTACAGCTGGCCTTCCCATCCAGCCAGCCACTCTTCTACCATGCTGCCCTGTGCTCAGCCTTGCCTGCCCTGATACACATGCTCCTGGATGACAGGTCTGTATGCCTGTGTTCTCAGGAGGTAGAGGGCAGGAACTCAGACACCCTTGAGATCCTAGAGCTCAATGAGAAAATACCCCCACCCCTTCTTTCTTGGGCCAAAAAGAATGGAGTCTTCTATCACTCAAGGCAGAATTAAATAATTTTAACAGACTTTATTGGTTTTCTTTGAGTACATCTGCACAGGCTTTGGAAGAGCTCTCTGGGTTCTCCTGGTCATCTTGTTTTGGGGCTGCTGCAGCTTTAGCTTTAGCTTTTAATATCCTTTTTTGTTTCTTCAGCTTTTTTGCCTCCTGGAAAACCTGCGGGTTGGAAGGAGGCAGGAAGACTTTGTAATCATATGCAAAACCTATGACTTGGAGGTCAGGTAGGAACCATCTCCCTCAGGTGGTAAGCCCAGGCTTCCTCCATGGGGTTGGTGACCTGTGACCTCCTTGAAGCCAGTTCTAGGCTTCTAACAAAGACAGGTTATCTCTCCCTTCTGCACCCTTTATCAAAGCCCCAGTGAGGCTGACCCAAGGAGCAATTCTGATTCATACCCGGAGGCACAGAGCCCTCTTGGCCACGAAGCGGCGGTGAGCAGTTCGGTAATAGAGAGGGGGAAAGGTGTACTCAATTCCCAGTTCCCTGCATGTCTTCTCAAAGACATCATAGTTGGTCTTACGAAGGTTTTTAAGCATCTTTTTCCTCTGGTCAATGCTCATCAGTAGATAGCGTTTGTGTGCTTTATCCTGCAGGAAAATCTGTGTTACTTTTAGTATTCTAAGTGTTATTGTTGTGACAAATGTTAGTGCAGTTCCGAAGAAGGCACTGTCATTGTTGGTTGCATTTTACAGATGGGAAAATAAAGGTTCAAAGATGTTATGATTTACAAAAGGTCCTCAAACCTGTTGATGCTGAAGTAGCGTCTTGAATCCGGGTCTACTGAGCTAACTCCAAATCTTATGCTCTTTCCCTTATACCACCTGCTCAGTCTCTCCACAGCTAGCAAACTGTTAGCTAGGGTAGAGACAAAGGAAGGCCTTGTACTCTTCCTGGAGATCCATGCCCATGGCTGGGGGCTGCTTTATGAGGGGCTTCTGCAGCGGGGCTGGTATTCCACACCCAATGTGATCTCCAAGGAGCAACTAGCTCCAGAGAGCACTAAAGTGCCAGTGTATTTTATTAAAAACAATCACAATTGGGGCTGGGGATATAGCTCAGTTGGTAAGAGTGCTTGCCTCACATGCACAAGGCCCTGGGTTTGATCTCCAGCAACACACACTCACACACACACACACACAAATCACAACTGCCTAATTTGCCTAATTATAGCAGCTCTGTACTATACACTGTGCTGATAGGGCATAATGGTCAAGCATGTGGGATCTGCAGCAATGCTGACTCGTTTGTTTCAAGTCTTGACCATTACTTCCCTAGTAGTGTGCCTTGAGGAAAAATGTAATCTCTCCATGACTGGACTATCCCTCTGTAAAATGGGAAAGAACAACAGTTATAGGGTTAAAAATG